TGGCCAAAGTATTGGAGCTTCAGCATCAGTCTTTCTGGTAATATCCAGGGTTGATTTCCTTTAGGATTGACTGGTTTGATCTCCAAATGCGATCATTATTCACAGTCATAAGGAAAACTTAGGATGTATCTTCAATCAAGACTTTGTGACCTTAGGGTCTCAGTTTCACAACCTCAAGCCAGACTGCTGATGGCTGCCCTGGTGTGAATATCAGGATATAAAAGGGGGTGAAGAAGCTGGGCTTCCCCAGGGTCAAGAATTGGATGGAGCTCTGCTCCTGTCTGTCGCCAGGTGCCTGAGCTTAAACCTGGAAGAGCCAGCTACCTCCATTTTCACCAGTTCACCTGTTAAGGCAAGAAGGTGGGCTCAGCAAACCCTCCCAGCACCATGAGGGCGGCAAACTCTCTGGCCGAGAATGTCCAGCTGGTGGTCAGCCCCTACCCCCCTGGAATTTTCTCCCCTACCCCTTTTCAACACCCCCTTCTAGCACCTTCTGAAACCAGTCACACTCCTAAACTAAGGCACTTGGCCCCCAGGAATTTCCAGCTCCCTGAAGCTCATCCCCTCCCCCAGGCAGGAGTCTCAGGTCTTCCTCTGGCCAGCCCAGCCTACCTGCCCAGGGTCTTTGGTAACTTTTGCACAGCCTAGTAAATCCCTTGCTCTCCCTACAGCCTTCCAGCCCCTCTCTGGGACCTTGTTGTTTCTGCTCCTTGTTGCCCAGGGCACTCCATCTCTGATGGTTGAAATGCCGCTCAGTCCAAATCCGTCCTCCACTGAGATTTTCCCATTGGCTCCAGCTGGAACGGTATATGTATTTTTAAACTTTCAAATCTCTCTCTCTTTTCTGTTCTTCTGATTTTGCGTATTTCAGTTATGCTTTAGCACCTTAAGGAAAAAGTCTCACCCCCACAATGACTAAGCAGCTGAGAAAATGGAAAGAACACGGCATCTCTCTATACCTCTGTGCTCTCATCTGGAAAAATGGAGATAAATGTGGTAAATAATCAACTGTCTCAAGAATTGTTTTAAGGCTTAAAAGGGGCTCTTGATATGAATAGTTTCCACCTCTTGGATCTGCACATTTTAAAGGATCAATGAATAAATGAATGAGTGAAAGCCTTTACTGTTTTACCTGCAATTGTCAAGTCAGATAAGCTTTTGCTAAAACCCTAGGAATTCTACACCAGTAATCTGCAAACTTAGGGCTTCCCTGGTGACTCAGTGGTAAAGAATCGCCTGCCAGGCTGGAGACTCGAATTCCATCCCTGGGTCAGGAAGATCCCCTGGAGAAGGAAATGGCAACCCACTCCAGTATTCTTGCTTGGGAAATCCCATGGACAGAGCAGCCTGGCAGGCTACAGTCCACAGGGTCGCAAAAGAGTTGGACATGACTTAGGGACTGAACAAAAACAACCACTTGCAAGCTTAGGTTCTGGATTAGACTTTTATACCACGTGATTAAGGCATGAGCCCAACATTCCTGCATAGCAGTGACATCATCTAGGGCAGAGGTCAGCAAACTGTGACCTCTGGACGGCATCCAACCCATTACACCTTTGTAGGAAGCCCACGAACTAGGAATGGGTGCTGCATTTTAAATGATTTTTACTTTTAAAATGTTATGTCTCGGAATGTACATTTTAAAAGCAAATTAACTTAAATGGAAACGTAAACATCTTTACATCTTTTGAATTAAAAAAAACAAAAGAAGACTATTTCATAACACATGGAAATTAGAGGAAAATCAGACTTTGGTGTCTATAAATAAAGTTTTATTGATAAACAGCCATGCTTCTTCAATTATGTACTGTCTACACAGTAACAGACAATGTGTGAAGAGCTTTCACACGATAATGGCACAGTTGAGTAGCTTTGAGAGAGGCTGCGTGGCTCACAAAATCAAAAATATTTACTACCTGGCCTTTTACAAAAAAAAGTCTACGGATCCCTGGTCTATGAAATGAGAGCAGCGGCGTGTACCCAGCCCCTTGTCTGGGGACGGAATGGCTCTTAAAGAACGAGCATCAAGTGGAAGCTCAAGAAAAGTCCATTCTTCCCCTCTCTTTCCCTTCCTGTCTTAATTCACTCCCACAGAGAGCTCTTTTATTTGGAGATCCAAGCCACACACACACAAACACACACACACACACAAACCAGAAGAGGATGGCCAGCCCGCTGGGGCACAGGGCCCTGCACAGTGGCCTTCAGACAACAGGGCTGTGTTTCTTAGCGCCTCCTCCTGCTCCGGGCCCTCCCCGAGGCCGAGGTCTGTGGGACCCTGTGGGAGAGGCTGGGGCGGTGGTGGGAATGTCTGCATCCTAGACATAGTGAGGCTGTGCCTCTGGATTTCTTAGAGGTCGGTGGTTTCCACTGCATCCTCTCTTGCCTTAGGTTTTGAAATGGAGGCTTACGCTGCACTGAAGTTTCCCACAGCTGCAGTTTAGCTCAGCGCAGGGTTGACAGCTTAGAAGAGTGGGATCCGGGGCTGGCATGGAGGGTGAATCGAGGGTCTTGATTCTAACGTGAGGGATGGCATGAAGTGGTACCAAGAACTGAGATATGGGATCTAGCCTGGCATCCTAGCTCTGCTCCTCACGGGCTCTGGGATGTTTCCTCTCTGAACCTTTTTCCTGCATCTGGAAAGCGGGGGTGATGGTTTCTTCTGGGGAGGGGTGGAGACAGGCTTCCCTGTCAGGTAAGCTTGGGGAGCTGGGTTTTGTCTTTTACCGAACTGAAGTCCTATGCCTAGAATAGTGCCTGGCCTGTGGTAAGCACACAGCAAACACCTATTAGTGGAAAAAGATACAGGCATGCCTGGTTTTATTATGCTTTGCAGATACTGTATTTTTTACAAATTGAAGATTTGTGGCAGCTTTGCATTTTCAGGTTTGGCAATTTTTTTAGCAATAAAGTTTAAAATTTTTTTTTAATTGTGGTAAAAGTCTCATAATATAAAACATGCTATTTTAACCATATTTAACAGTACAGTTCAGAGTACTAAGTACAGTCACATTGTCGTACAACCCTCATCATCCATAGCAGTAAAGTATGTTTTAATCGAGTCATATATATTTTTTAAAAAATAATTATATTTCTTTATTTTTGGCTGCACTGGATCTCCATTGCTGCATTAGCTTTCTCTAGTTGCAGAGAGCAGGGCTACTCTTTGTTGAGGTGTGTGGGCTTCTCATTGCTGCGGCTTCTCTGGTTGCCGAGCATAGGCGCTAGGTGCGCAGGCTTCAGCAGTTGCAGTTCTTGGACTAGTTGTTCCGAGTCACGTGGAATCTTCCTGGACCAGGGATTGAACATGGTCACCTGCATTAGCAGGTGGATTCTTATCCATTGTGCTACCAAGGAAGTCCTGTGCCTTGTTTTTTAAACATACTGCTGTTGCACAGTTAACATACTACAGCATAGTGCAAATGCAACTTTTATGTGAACTGAGAAAATAAAAACTTCATGTGACTCACTTTATTGTGATATTTGCCATTTTGCAGTGGTCCGGCACTGAACCCACAATGTCTCTGTGTGAAGTGCACCTATCAAATATGTGGAGTGCCTGCCATACTACCAATTCTCATTAAATAGTCTATTGTTGTATCTGTTCTAAGCCAGGAATCAGCGAACTATGGCTCACACACCAAGAATGGCCCATTGCTTGATTTTGTTAATAAAGTTTTATTGAAACACAGCTTTGCCCATTCGTTTATAAATTGTCTAGGGCTGCTTTTCTGCCACAGGGATGGAGTTGAGTAATTGTGAGAGAAATGTATGACCTACAAAACCTCAGATAAATACTATCAGACTCTTAATAGCAAATCTTTGTGGCTCCTGCTCAGAATGTCAAGGGCACCCTGTCTGTAGGTGACCACAGATTTCATTTTCCCCTGATTGCAGGTGTGTGGGCAGTTACCAACTGAAAACAAGCAGCTAGCACGTATTCTAAATGCCCTCTCTAAGATGCTTAATTTTTCCTTTGACACTCTAATTCTACCACATTATTCCGGCATGGGCAGAACTGACTTTTCTGTGCTTTCCTACTCTCCTATTTAAGATGGTGTTACTTTCATTTCTGTGTGAAAAGAAACTCAAGCCACTAGTGAGTTGTTTGCAGACTCATTAGGGGTTGGCCTTGTGTCCTGCAACAAGTCCAGGCTTAGGGAACCACATGGGAGATGAGTCAAGATAAAAAGGGATGACCCACTAGATACAGCTGACTACATGGTACCCATGGATAGGATGTTGACAGGGAGCAGAAGGGATCCACTCTGTCCAGGGCACAAAGTACTTAGGTTTCTGATTCACTCTGCCATAGTTATGACTGGAATGACCTAGGACATTGTAGTTATCCTCGCTTAGCCTCAATATTCCAGTCTGTAAAGTGGCAACAGTGATACTTACCAAGTTGGGTGACTGTGGATATTAAATCAGCTAGTGTATCAGATGCCCAAAACATTGTAACTAGCTAGCTATTTTTATAGCACAGTAAGTCATATATTTGCTGGTTTGGGAGAGAAATCGTCAAAAATCTGTGTTATATGTTGTCTTTCCTCTTGAGAGTCTAGACCCACAGTTAGAAACCTCTCAGGATCTTGATTTTGTGATGTGGTGATGGGGATCTTTCTAGATTGAGTGGCATTTATCGAGCACTCTGCAGTCTTTACTTGAAAGGATTCCTGCCCATTGTGCCAGCTGAGAGATGTGGGCTACGCCCTAGTTTTGCTACCATTTCATACTCAGCAGATCTTTTTCTTCTTTTTCCTCCAGAAGGTCAGGACAACAGACACTCCTAACCCCAAAGAGAGGACAAAGGTGAAGATGGCGAGGTGTGGCTGACTCCTGCTCCTGAGCCTTGGCCCTTCTGTAGCCCCAGGGCTGTGGCTGAGACCCTCACATTCTGGGGAGAGAGAGAAAAGCCCCGGGGTTTAGAACCTCACAAAGAAGAGTGCAGGAAGCTTCGAACACCAGGGGAACTGTGCACTTTCAAAGCTGATGGTGGGATGGTGCCTCTGAGATCAACAGGGTTGATGCAGGGCACAGGTGAGAATGGAAAAACAGCTGCCGAGGGAAACAGAGAGCTTCTCAAGTCACCCCTGTCCCCCTTTACCGCACCATCAGTCTTTCGACAAAACCCGAGCTTCCGGTGGTGGCCCCTCCACTCTGGTGGAGACCCCTCCGCTCTGGTGGAGACTGATCCCTGTGAGCAGAGTGAAAGCAGAGAGGCCATTTTCTGGCTGCGTGATCCGCATGCTCTGCACCTTGCTCTCCTCTTTTTTCAGATGGTGGTGATGATAACTACCTGGTGCATACTAAGTCCCTTCAGTCTGGCCCGACTCTTTGTGACCCTATGGACTGTAGCCCACCAGACTCCTCTGTCCATGGGATTCTCCAGGCAAGAGTACTGGAGTGGGTTGCCACGCCCTCCTCCAGAGGATCTTCCTGACCCAGGGATTGAACCCGCATCTCTTATGTCTCCAGCATTGGCAGGCAGATTCTTCACCACTAGCACTGCCTGGGAAGCCAACTCCTGGTAGGGTCTTATATTAGAATCCGGTTCCTGGCACACAGTAGGTGCTCAGTAGGAAAATGTTTTCTGCAAGGCTCCTCTTCCTCCACCAACCCCTTCTTCGGAGAGGTTTCCTTTCTGACCAGCAAACCGGCAGCACTTGATTTCCTCCTGAGCACATTCTATGGGTATTCCCTCTATGGCCATCTGCCCAGACATCTCAATCTCCAGAGGTCAGAGGTCAGAACGGGCAGGGACTGTGACGTACCTTCCCTCTTGGTTATTCAACAGAGATGTGCTGCTGCTCCTCCTGGTGAATTTCCATAGGATAATTACTTGCTAACATGTGTGGACCTGAGAAGGCAATGGCACCCCACTCCAGTACTCTTGCCTGGAAAATCCCACCGACGGAGGAGCCTGGTAGGCTGCAGTCCATGGGGTCTCGGAGAGTCGGACATGAGTGAGCGACTTCACTTTCACTTTTCACTTTTATGCATTGTAGAAGGAAATGGCAACCTACTCCAGTGTTCTTGTCTGGAAAATCCCAGGGATGGGGTCGCACAGAGTTGGACACGACTGAAGTGACTTAGCAGTAGCAGCAGCAGCAGCATGTGTGGACAGTTATTGCTTAGAAAGCAACTGTTTCTACCCTTTTCTCATTCATTTCACAGAACTTGTCCCACTTGGCCCGTGTAAGAGCCCCGTGAGAGAGCCATTGTGCCATTTTACAAATGAGTTACCGGAAGCTCGGAGATTAAGTGACCTGCCCAGGGTCAACCAGCTGACCGATGGGGAGCTGGTCACCCACCAAGGCCACTTCACTCAATTCCCTCTCTCCACATCATTGCATAGGGCACCACCTGGTTCACTCGCTCCTTCTTCCCGGGTGATACAAAATCATGAGCTTTTCCAGGAAAGGATGCTATCAAGACACTTTGGATTTGAGGGTGTGTAGAAGGACTCTAGGTCAAGGTCAGACCAGAGAGGCCTCTCAACGGCCCAGCCAACATGCCACACTTCTGCTTTAAGGCCTGAAGGAGCAGAGCACTGATGAGGGGTCAGGCACTGCTGCCAGGGTCATTGTGAACAAATGACAGCAGGAAATGTCCTCCCTTCCTGCCTGAACCACTTCAGTGCATGCCTTCCCCTCCTTCTAGAAGCCACTCTTGACCATTGGCTTACCCTTCCAATGGGAATCACAGTGGACCGTTGCAGCTTCCTATGGACTTACATGTGTGTTTAAAAGTAACTTGTTATATAAAAAGTAACTTTGACTACAATTTTCTTGTTCCAAAAAAAAAGATAATAGCTACATAAAATTTAAATCTACAGCAATAAACAAATTAATACAAGTAATCACCTCATTTGATTATAGTCAGTTGACACTTTGGTGTTTAATCATCCAGAACACTTTTCTTTGTCTATATGTGTATATACACACATAGAAAACATGCTGCTTTCTAATTTGCTTTTAGTTAAAAATGTGTCATAAGTATCATTCTCCATAATTAATATGCTTCTACAAAAAACTTTGCTAATGGCTTCTTTTTGTTTTTCACGTCCACTGTCCTGTTATATGTGTGCTAGTTTTGCTTCCTCAATTACATTGTAAGCGCCTTAATTATCCATATTCCCCAGCTTGGTGCCAGCCTCAGGATGGCTTGTTCATTGATTGATGACAAATCAGGGCATGGGAAGTAAGTGAGATTTGAGGTAGACTGACCTAGATTTCAGTTCTGCAAAATCCCAGATTTTGCATCCTTCCTTCTTCTCTTTCCCCTTCCCTCCCATCCTCTCTTCCTCTCTCTGTCCTTTCTTCAACATATGCATTGATAAATGTTTTAGATATTTATACAAACACACATTTATTTCAATATCCTGTGACTGCCTCCAGCACTTAGCCCTTAGCATATAGTATTATACATATTTATAGACCAGATCCCTGCTCCCCTGGGTGTGCCAACCCAAATTAAATCAACAAAGGAAAAGTAAATAGATCACTAAAGCAGTTTAAATACACCAGGAGTAAACACCGGGCTGAGAAAGATGAAATAGGGAACACACGAGATGAGATGGGGGCCCAGTGAAGCCCTCTCTGCAGAGGTGAGCTTGAAGCCAAAACCTGAAGGATCAGCTATAGGGAATGGGAAAGATGTTCAGGCGAAGGTCCTGAGATGGGAGACACTTTGACAGCGTTGAGAAACTGAAGAGACGGTGTGGCCTTGGGTAACAAGGAGGGAGCAAGATGTCTGTTGGGAGGCTGGTGGGTGGGCAGGAGCCAAGCGATGCTGGGCTTGTAGGTCCTAGTATGGAGACTGGCTTTACATTAAGAGCAGTGGACTGTCAGCAAGGGACTTTCTGTGGGTAATTTGCATTTTAGGGTCACTCTAGCTGCCGTGTGGAAATTGATCTTTGATTGAGGAGGGAATAAATGAAGCCTCTGGGACTTGGAAAATATAAGACGACAAACTTTATTTTGGAGCATTGAAGGAGCTACAAGCCAAGGACACTGGAAAATGGGGCAGCAAAAAATAATATGGAAGGCTGGGGATTCCAGGAAGAACTCACAGGTGTGTTCCTCTTGTTCCCACCTTCTGTGGAGGACAGAGGAGCCTGGCGTGCTGCAGTCAATGGGATCACACGACTTAGCCATTGAACGACAACAACTGCTGTGGTTGTAACGCAGAATCACACAGAGCCAAAGTTGAAATTCCAGAGCTGACTCGAAGCCCAGGTGTGATTCGATTCAGTCTTGTCACTTTTAGCTTTAGAGACTGAGTCTCAACAAAGGGAGGTGGCCTGCCTAAGGTCACCTCGCTGGCAAGTGGCGGACCAGAACTTGAAAGGAGGCAGCTCCCCCGCGTCAGAGCTCCTTGTGTCTTCTTTCCAGCCTGCTCCCACCCTGGGCTCTCCTAGTAGGATGCTGTGTTTAACCTCACCTGTTAAGAGTGTGCTCTGTAGTTTCTGTGAGGAGCTGTCAGCTGCCCCAGGAGGACTTTCATAGCGATTCTCCGGTGGCCCCGACAGACTCCTGTCCAAGCTCAAGGAGGCATGACTTCCAGGCCCTCCATGGCTGATGCTCCAGCTGAGCCCCCATTGGACCTGCAGAGGTGCAGTAGTGCTGCCTTCTGATGGTTGGCACTTAGACACGCTTAAGGAGGCAGGCAGATCTCTCTGGGACATGTCCAGAACTGGAGGGGGCTTCCCTCTGCCTCCCTCATCATCTCTTCCTGCTTGTGCATCCAGGTTGGTGACGTGGCTCATTGACTCCAGGACAGGTTCCATCACATCTCATCTCTGGGACAGGAGAGGCTGGTTATCCATGTCCCCTCAAGCCCCAACTCACACTCTTTTGTACTCCTTGCCCCAAATAGCCCCTCAGGGAGTCTGCACAGATCATTCTTCTAACTTTTTATTTTGTATTGGAATAAAGAGGATTAATAATGTTGTGATAGTTTCAGGTGAGCAGCAAAGGAACTCAGTCTTACATACACACATATCCATTTTCACACAAAGCCCTTCCCATCCAGGCTGGCACATAACATTGGGCAGAGTTCCATGTGCTATACACTAGGCCTTTGTTGGTTATCCATTTTTAAATATACCAGTATGTACATGACCTTCCCAAAGTCCCAGACTATTCCATCCCCCATCCTTCTCTCTCCCTGACAACCATAAGCTCATTCTCTAAGTCTTGCACATATCATTTGTATTCTGCCATTTCCTCTTTCCCCGCCACTGGATCCCAGTGAGGACCTCTAGAGGTGGCACGTCCCATTTGCAGAGGAGATTCTCGCTCTGTTGATCTAGACTTAGTGGTTTCCAGCCTGCTCCCTGGGATGCTATGCAGAGAGGCCCCTGAGAAGGCTGGTTGGGCTGCTGTGCTGGTTGCAGAATTCTACCGGGAGAACTCATGGAAGAGTAGTGCCCAGAAGGGTTACACTTTCCTCTCATGTTAATAATAGAATCTCTGTCTTTCAGCTGTGCACTTGGTTGCCCAGAATAAAGGCTAAACTTCCCAGCCTCCTTTGCTGTGAGGTGTGGTCACATGACTAGTTTTTCATCACTAGGATAGAAACACAAGTATCCTTCTTGAATGTGTCTTTTGAAGATTTCCTAATGGGAAAGAAAGAGGGAGCACCCCTTCTTTTTTCCAGCTCATTAGAATGTAGAAGTAATTGTTGGCACTTAAGCAGCTATATTGAACCATGAGGTAGAATGTAATAAAACAATATTAAAGAATCTCCAAAACTAGGAAGTCCTTTGCTAGTTCTAAACTCCCTCCCTCTTGACTTCATGTATATTAAGAGAAAATACATTTCATCTTGTTTGATAGTCAAACCTTATTTTAAAGAATACAGCCAATCACAATGCTGTATGTTGGAAATCAAAAGCCCTCTTACCCTTTTATTCAATAATCATCTGCTTTATGATCATAGGAGCCATGATTTTGTTAGGTGTAAGAGATGCAAAGATAAAGAATAATTTCCTATTTTTCAGTTGGATTTGTTTGCTAGAGATGCTGTAACAAAATGTCACAGACTGAGAGGCTTAAAGAGAAATTTATTTTCTCACAGCTCTGGAGCCTAGAAGTCCAAGATAGGTGTCAGAGGACTTGGTTTCTTCTGAGGCCTCTCTCCTTGGCTTGCAGGCAGCCATTTTCTGTGTCCTCACATGGCCTTTTCTCTGTGTGAATCTCCAATGTCTCTCTTATGGATTATGATCTCACCCTAAGTGGCTTCATTTTAACTTACTCACCTCTTTAAAGATCTTGTTTCCAAAGAAAGGGGCTTCCCTGGTGACTCGGTGGTAAAGAACCCACCTGCCAATGCAGGAGACTTGGGTTTGATCCTTGGGTCTGGAAGATCCCCTGGAGAAGGAAAGGCAACGCACTCCAGTATTCTTGCCTGGGAAGTCCCAGGGACAGGGGAGGCTGCAGTCCATGAGGTCGCAAAGAGTTGGGTATGGTTTAGCGACTGAGCACACACGCAACTTCCAAATAAAGTCACATCCAGAAATACTGGAAGT